AATGTCAAAGTCAATTGAAAATCACATCTTTACCTTTACAAAGTAGGGGTAAGATCTGCGTACGCATTACTTTTACGACGTATGATGTTATCGTTGTATATATAATTTTTGAGCGAAGGGTGTTAATATACTAATCACTCTTTGTTAGTTGTAGCTCTGCCGAAGGGTATAATATTAGATAACTAGCACCGCGGAAGTAATTAAAGAGTCAATGAGAATTATGATTCATGTTTTAGAGTTATCTAATATTTATTGAAGGTATAGATATCGAATAGAATAGTTGATGTAAATACAAGTTGATTTGGACAAAAATAAAAGGAAAAGATAGAATAATGAACTCCGATCCAATTTTCACACTTTAGTGCAGAATTAATAAACATCATTTTCAGCATCTTTTAAAATCTCCTTCTCCAAAGTCCCGACTCAAACCACGTCATATATATCATCCTCAAAATCCTTCACATATATTATTAATACTTCCTCGATAGGAGCTAAGAAAGCAAGAGAAAAGCTTCGGTGAATTCTAAGACTTTTCCTAGTTCTCTAAGCAAGAAAATATGGGGAAGAAAATCACAGCTGGTCAAGCTTCAAAATCACAGAAGATATCCAAGAATAACAATTACCATATTATTCATGACAATAAGAAACAACTCAACAGTTTGATCAAATTCTTGAAACCCAAAGTTTATATCACAAACTCTTCAAACTTCAAGAATCTTGTCCAACAACTCACTGGCAATGGATCATCAAGTCCTATGATCTCATCCCCATCACCTCCTGATCATCATCATGATCATGATCAACGGTTGCAATTCATTGATCACCAATATCAAGAATATAGCCAGGAATTATCCATAGATTCATCAGAAGGAAGTATACCATCATCCTTTAATACATTTGAAGCTTCTTTCCAAGAACCATCTTTCAGTTTGTTGGATAGTAATAAATATTCCAATATGGGAAGCCAAAATCAAATGGATTTTTCTGAAGAATATAGGAATATAGAGACATGGCTATTGGAGATGGATTCATATACTAGCTATCATCAACAGTATGAAGGACACGTTCCGTTTATTCAAGAACAGGTTTCTGTTGATGATTATGGTTATGATTTATCCAGTCTTTTGTGAGACTTAATTAGCTAATAAGTCCCGCGTCTGCATGATTATCTAGACTACGTACGTGTTGTTCATATCTAGCTATATATAGAAAGTACTGTAAATGGTTGTGCATATATATGTTATACTTTCATATCTCTTTTTTTGGCTTTTTCTCTGTCTAGATCTCGATGTAGAGAGAGATGTAGATTGTTAATTTAATAATTAGTGAGTGTGGAGTGATCAGTATTAGTCGATGTACATTTCTTGTATGTAGAAGAGGCAATCGTTGGATTTATTATTATTATGCCGTGAATATTGTACGTATGTACATAGGTTTTGTTCATACATATGAATGTCTATATATAAAGTTTCAGCTGCAAGTTCTTAATTAGAAATGTCTATTTTGATACATTCCAAACTCTGTATGGTAGTTTTATGACGTTGGTTTTGTCACATTAGGACAGAGAAGTTATATTCTAGTGTTTCAAGTCGGATCTCTTTTATGTGTAATTCAAGTTTTACAGATAGTTCTTATTCCTTGTGAATTTAAATTATATACATCATCAATGTATCAACCTTTTTTCTCCTCCTTCCTCTTCTTCTTCAATCCTCTTTCTCTTTCTCGTTCTCCTCTAGGATATAATGGAGTGTGTGGTCTAATGGAGGTTTTAATTAACTTTAAACAATTTCTGAAAAGTATGGGATTCTTGCTCGGCGATGTTCATTTTATATGAATATCATATATATCACAAGATTTGCAATAAGAGAGAGCCATTTATACGCTCGTATGAAACAGTGTAAATAATGTTGCATGAGACGTTGCTCTTTCTTGAGGCCATATCAAAGCAATTAGCAATCTTAAGTTTTCTTTTCCATGGAATTATATATGCAGTTTTCTCCAATAATCTTGCCCAAATATGACATTAATGTCGAATACGATGCCGCCTTCATTTTTGTTTGAGTAAATTGTAATTACCCATTTTAACCTTTTAAAGTTAGAAATTAAAGTATTACCATTCATCTATTGATTATGAGATGGAGAGTCTTTTCTTTATAAAATTAAAAATCAATATGAGAATTTTGATAGTGAAGAAAGTAGCATATATCTTAATTGGCTGAAAACTTATTATATACTAAAGATTGGACAGATTAGGTGTTTGGAGAAATAATTCAAATTAAAAACAAATAAATTTATTCCCTCACTACCATTATAATGGTTCAAGTTTTATTTGTCACAATTTTTTCTGAAAAAAGTTTGAAGCGTGAGTATTTATTAGAGGAACATGTGGAGTAATATGTTGAGTTTTGTGTTCTAGAATATTACTACTCCCTCCGGTCCATAATAAGTGACCGTTTTACCTTTGGCACACCCATTAAGAAAATACGAACTCCTAGAGAAAAAAAAAATATTAACTAAATTAACCTTAATTAATTATTATCTTGACAAATTGGAATATGTAAATCAGGATAAATTTTGAAAAAATAAAATTAATTCCTTCTTGATTATGTAAATGGACACTTATTTTGAACCAAAATAAAAAGATAAAATGGTCACGTATTGTGGATCGGAGGAGTAACTAGCTAGAGAGAATTTAGTGCTAGGAAGAGTAAAAAGAAAGGCCTACATAACTTTTTATGATATAGTGTATTAAAGTTACTTTGGAAGATGGAACGAACTCAAAAAGAAAGTACAACTATCTCAAACCGACGGGAGACTCAGGCCTCATTTTTTTTTAAGATTAAGACGTCTGAATTTGAATGTACATCTGAATATCAAGATATGTATTAAGATTAAGCCATCTGAATCTAAATACACAACTGAATATTAAGATGTATATTAAGATCTGAATACTAAATAATTAAGACTGTTTGATTTTTAACATCTGAATGTATAAGATTTATCTTTATTTAAAAATTAATAAACATAAAATTCAAATAAAATACTAATTAATCTCTTATTCTATCCATAAAATATCTAATTTTTTAAAATATGATAGTTGTTAGTGGTGATGGCTAACAGGTGAATGCCGACTAGAGGCGGTGGTTGGTGGTAGTTTTGGTTGATGGTGGTGGTTCACGGTAGTAGCTAGTGGTGATTGATAATGGTGGCGATTATGATTGAGGATGGTAGTGGTGAGTGGTGATAGTTAATAATGGCAGGTGGTGGTGGTAGTTGTGCTTGAGGAAGGTGGTAGTGAGTGGTGAGGTTATAATGATGGGCAGTGACGGCTGTGGTTGTTGAAGGTAATGTGGTAGTTAGTTGTGGTAGTTGAGGTAAATGAGTGTTGATTCTGGTTGAGAATGCTGGTGGCGGCAGTGGTGGAGATGGTGGGTGGTGATAGTCGATAATGGTGGCGGCTATGATTGATGAAGATGGTAGTGTGGTGGTGGTTGTGGCGACATGGTGGTATAGTTGATAATGGTAGGCGGTGACAACAGTTAATAATGAATATAGATGATAATATCTTAATGAAATTAATTCTCTGTTATATATCTTAATCATACGGACCTATTCAAACCCATTAAGTGGTTGTGAAGTAAAAAAACAAACACACTTAATGATTAAGATCTGAATAATTAAGATTCAGACCTCCATTAAGTGCAAACAAATGAGTTATGTGTTCTTAATAGAGCCGTCAATATGGGCTTGGCCCGTTGGGCCAGCCCATCTCAGCCCGTGATTTAGCAGGGTTGAGCTAGAATTTTTGGAGCCCATTTAGAAATAAGGCTTTTAAGACCGGCCAGTGGCCCGTGAGGCTTGACTGAGTTTGGGCTAGGCCGGCCCGTGGACCTAATAAAAATGTCTTTAAAATATAAAAAATATATGACACTAAAAATAACAAGAAGAGTATCCCAGCTTAAAGTTTATTAAGCTCATCATATTAAAAGATCAACGTCTTAAAACGTTAATTAGTTTTTAAAATTTAATTATTCTTAATATTTAACTAATTAATATTGCATATGAATTGTAGATGTAGATGAAAGTGAAAATGTTCTCACAAGCGAATTCAAATATGTTTGATGAAAATGATGTGGTGGATATTTCATAAGCGTCATGGACGTTCTCTTGAATAGTTTGTTTTGAGTTTTGATTTTTAGTGAATGAAATATAGTCTTGTCTTTTACTTTTTTAGTGTTTATTGTGATATATTGGAACAATATAAAAAGTTATTAAGTTTTGTGAAATTTGTTCAATAAGATTTTTTTAACTTTTAAATATTTATCTTTTTTTAGGTTAGAATTTAAAGAAAAAAATATAAAACTATATTTAAAAAAATAATGGGCCGGCCAATGGGGGCCTACAGCCCACATAGGGCTGGGGTGGACTAACCATTATAAAGTCCATCAAAATGGTGGGTTAGCCCAGCCCAGCAATTGCTAAAGCCCACATGGGCTACGCTGGCTAGCCCGGCCACGCCCATCTTGACAGCTCTAGTTCTTAATTATTTAATCATAAAATAAGCTAATTGACATGTTATACATATGTTTCTCAATTGCTAAACAACAAGACTCTGTGGCCCAATGGATAAGGCGCTGGTCTACGAAACCAGAGATTCTGGGTTCGATCCCCAGCAGAGTCGATCTACCTCCTTTTTTTCTTTAATTTTTAATTTCTTTACAATAGACGGTTATTTGTGTTAATTGTTCATTTTCTTCTTTCCTTTTCCCTTAATATTCACCCCTCTTTCTGACAAGTGGTCATGGCAAGATCCCTATTGTTATGTCTGGGCTGTATCTGGGTAATGTTTGGTAAACCAACACAATTATTCGGAAAAAACAAGAGAATCATTACCCTTCTTTCTGATAAGTGAATCTGCAAGATCACATTGCTATGTTTGGACTGTATTTTGGGTTAAATGTTTGGTAAACCATACGAATATACAAATAAGAAAATATGGGTTCCACATTTGAGATTATTTGGTTCCACCTTCAGAGCATTTTCAAAGCTATATATTGTTCAATACAAGAGGGGAAAGAAAATCGCAAGAACACTTCTTTCACAACAAAAAAAATAAAAATAAAAATTGTGAGAACACTTGAAATGAATACCAACATGATGACATATGAACAACTATTGGCATTGAAAATGAGTTATTTAGCAAAGGGAGCGAAGCCACTTTCATCTGTCATCGCTTGCCTGGCGTTAGTTGAGAAGCTGGCAAAGTGTACAAGGATTTCAGCTGCTGGCTAATAAGCTTGCTGTTACTAATAGCCATTTGTAGTTCCAAGTTATCCGACCACCATTGTTCCAATCCATGCGCCTCAAGAAACTTCTGCTTGCCTTTCGATGACAAGAAAAGTTTAGCTGCTGCTTGGCCAATTGTTGGTTTTGCATTCTCCTTGTCAGCAGCTTGGTCGTTTTGCGCTCCGTCTGGATCAGTATAAGAGCAGCATATGTAGTCACTGTTGTTAATATACAAGTGTGGCACCCATTGCTTTAGGCCTACCTGAATAGATGTCGTTGCGCCTTCCTCGTAGCTGATCTGAGAATCAGACTTTGACGGAAGCATTGCTTTGAGCCTTTTCCAGGCAAAGCCAGCTTTTTCTCCAATGTTTCTAAAACTCATAGCAAGTGAAACTGAAGGAGGATTGAACAAATGTGCCTCTACATATATTCCTTCTTTGGCTAATGATTTTCCCACTTGAAGAGCAAAACCAGCTCCAAGGGAATGACCAGCAATACATACATTATTGCTTCCATACTTGTTGGCAAGTGCTTTTAACGCCTTCAGGGCTCCATTAAATCTCACAGATCCTTTCAGACTTTCCCAGGCTAAGAATCGTAGATCATCCTCGATATCCCTTCTCATTGTTGGGCTTTTCAGAAGTGTTCCCCTTAAGGCCAAAACAGCTCTAGGTGCACCACTGGGTCTGATAAGTACAAAATCAGCCAAAGCTGCAGATCGATCCCACTCCAATATTGCACCAAATATGGATCCATCTCTTTCATCTTTTAGGGTCTCAACCAACTTGTACTTGAAGGGTATCCACCATTTTGGAGCAAGTGCATTTTGTTCTGTCCTATTTTCTTGTCTGTCAAGCTCAATAAGGTAAACTGCTTGGATAAAGCAGGCCATTACTGTTCTTCTGTAGTTAGTATCCTTCCTGTCCAAGTGAATTACTGATTGGTGTCAGAGTAAAAAAGTCTAATATTTCCACAGAAAAGTGAACAGAGAAGCATTATGAGATCTAGTAAACCATCGCAATAGTTGCATATTCACGGATAGAAGAAAGAGGATGATAAGAACTTTATCATGCAGGAAGACCACTTACAAGTTCATAAAAAAGACTAGTTCCGGATTATTTAGACTAGTAATGGATTTGGCTCCAGAGCTAGACATTAAGTAAATAGTTAATTACACGTGCAATTAGCATACACGATAAATAATTGAAAGAGAGAAAAAGCCTACACTAAGATCGCGCTGTAAGCCTTGTAGCCATTTCCCAGAAAGTACAAATATTACTAATAAAGAAGAAAATAGTGATCTTAAAAATTGCATGAAACAAATAAAAATTTCCAAGAACCTTTAACTTTTAGGGATTCAGTAAGATAATGCCAGTGCTTTTAACATCCAGAATGGAATTGAAGTTATGTTATCCCCAAGACCAGAAGAACCTTTACTAGCAAATGGACTTGTTCTTCACATTATTGAATTCAATTACAGTCAAACCTCTCTATAACAACCTTGTTTGTTCCGAATATTTTTGGATGTTATAGCGAAGTGCTGTTATAGAGAATATATATTATAACATAACATAAAAAATGGTTCCGAAAAAGCTTGGCTTTTATAGAGAAGTGTTGTTATATAGGAATGCTGTTATAGAGAAGTTTGATTGTATATAAAATAATTAGCATGAAAGAGATTCTTATCGAAAAACATAAATAGCAGAAAGAGATCATATTCAAAGTCAACTTCCATGGCCTTAGGCTAAAGAGAGTAGTTGGGAAAACACTTATTAATATGAATTCAGAGAAGGCAAATCTCTTCTAGTGCCTGGTGATAGGATATTCGTAGGAAGCTTATGTGACTCTGGCCTTTATTCGAAAAGAAGATTCTCCTTCTTTTTATTAGAATGGCTACTTAAACTTTCAATTAATTATCACTTCAAATCAAATTGCAAAAGCCTTAAATATTTCCTTACCAACACCATCCAAAAAGTGGAAAAGAATTAAAAAGAAAGAACAAAACAGAAAGACATCCAGTGGTATAAGCGAAGCAGACAGGCGATCAAATTCTTCAATACTGTAATTAATTTGCCGTGTTTCTACTCACATAAAGCACTTCCCATAACCATTAGAACACCACAGGGAGGGAATATACCCTGTCAATGTGGGATGGGCAAATGTCTAAAACTAAAATTATGCTGGTGATGACCTATAATCAATATTGTGCAACTCTAAATTGATAATCTCTAATAACTTGTTCAGCCCATGGCTATAACATAGATAAATATAACTATAGGGTTTACCAAAAATAGCTAAACGGAACTTATTTTTCATGCTGAATGGCATGACTAAAGCCTAATGCTCAATTCAAACCTAGTATATTAGTGATGAGAAGTGAATTTCGGCTGTATGTTGGAGAAAACATTTTGGAAAATAAGTGGAGAATTGTGTGAAAAGTTCTGAGCTAATTGTGAGGAGCGCAAAATCCAGAAAGACAAGAAGCAGCAAGGGGCGAAAATCAAAGTGAAAGGACTTCTTCTGAGGAAACTTTTACCTCATTGCTTGACTCCTTTAATCCAGTTCTGATGTATATAGATTTGCCATTTCTAATCAGTTTCTAACAAAAGTCAGTCCCGAAAAGATAAATATATTTACAATTAGATCCTTTAATGTTCTCAACGTTTTCTTGATACATCCAAACGACATCAACAAATTCAACTTCATCACATCTTGCTCATTTTTTTATGCTTGTCTTCTCCACAACAATTTTTTGGATTGCAAATGCCCTTCAATAATATATAGAAAGAGGATCTAGAACCCAAGGAACTACCACTACACTAACGGATATTGTGAAAAATAAATTATACCATTACCAACTGATAAAGAACACATCACCAGCATAGCATTTCTAGTCAGATAATCAGGACCGACATATCCAACAAAAAAAAAAAAGATGAAAAAAAAGAACCATAATTCAAGGCACTCAAATTAACAATCAGCTTCGTATAAACCACTCAATGAATCAAATCAAAGCTAAAAAAGGTATCCAATTTTAGAAAGAGGAAAATATGAATAGGAGTATTAGAAAACTAACCAACTGGAATTAATAAGGTCTCTCCAATTAGGAGAAGAAACATTGCGAGGTCCAGATACATGGAATGCATAGGGATGAGACTCAGTGGCACTCTCCTTCACTATTTCTCCTTCAGTTCCCGCTTCATTTCTCATCTCCTCTGCACTAATTTTGGCCATATATGCAAACCCTACCTCACTTCTCTTCTTATTCTTGTTAATCACCTGAACATGTGCGACCCCAACAGAGAAAAAAAAGGGGAACTTCAGAGGAAGAGATAGAGACAGGAGTGGGGGAATGGTTGCCTTTTCTGGGGTGTTGTCAAGGCTTTTTCATGGTATTGGATTCGAAGGAATTAATGAGGGAATTCAAGTTGTTGGATTTTAATAATCTATAAGTAAATCGTTTATTTCGAAAATGTTGGTGTCTCTAACGGTCATATTTCTTTTCCTACCTGGATTTGCTACCTTTTTCAACAGCCCGTCACCCCTGATGAGTAATTGACAAGAAAGCCCTTAACTTTATCCAGGTGCACGCAACAAAACCTATCTTGTTATGGAGGTTACTTTTGGCAATTTGTGAGATCTACCTCTCTCCTTTTTTTTTTTTCACATAGTCAACGGGCAAGGGAAAAGTAATTGGGCAACTTGTTACTTATGAGATTGAAACTTGTGATACTAAAAATTAAAGTTTATGATTTCTTAACTGTTAGGGGTTGTTTGGTTATCGGGATTGAATTAATCCTGATATAAATTTGGGATTACATTTATTCAATGGTTAATTATGGTCTTATGAATATTGATGTTGAAATAAATTTTATATCAAAATTTTGGTACTTATTATTTGGTCCATAATAAACAGAGTATGGAATTTCAATCCTAAGATAACTGTATTCTTACCAAAGACCCCTTATGATATTGTGGCATTATATTGACCCTCTATCATTACAACTCTCTTTGTGTTATAAAATAAAAGCAATTTAGTAAAACATGAACAAGACATGTTGTTATGAAATAAAAGCAATTTAGTAAAACATGAACAAGAAATGGAGATAGAGAGAAGGAAGAGATTTTCTTCTTCAATTGTGTGTATTTTCCTATCTATTACAACGCCTTTATATAGGCATGAAAAGTGAAGAAAAATATGTCATTGAATATATCATTAAGCATAGAAATATGTCATTGAATATGTCATTAAGCATTTGAGATGATCATGGAGGAAGAGTAGACATCCACCATAATTTGATTTTTCTTATAACACTCCCCCTTGGATGTCCATAGATAATGTACCTCGTTAAAACCTTATTAGAAAAAAAAACCCTATGGGAAAAAAAAATCCTAGTGAGGGAAAAAGAGTACACAAATTTAGAAATACGCCTTTTGGTTGCCTCGTTAAAAACCTTGCAAGGAAAACCCAGTGGGACAAAACCTTGTAAGGAAAAAAGAGTACAACGCGTATTAACTCCCCCTGATGAGAGCATCAATTCACATCTTTGAGCCTTCACATCCCAATCTTGTACACTAGTTTCTTGAAGGTTGATTTCGGTAGAGATTTGGTGAACAAATCAGCCATATTATCACCTGAACGGATATAGTTGCACATTGATATCACCATTCTTTTGAAGATCATGTATAAAAAATAACTTTGGTAAAATGTGCTTTGTCCTATGCCATTTTATGAATCCTCCCTTCAACTGGGATATGCATGCTGCATTGTCTTCATACAAAATTGTGGGTGGTTTGTCACACTTCAAACCATATTTGTTTCGAATAAGGTGTATTATAGACCTCAATCATACACATTCTCGACTTGCTTCATGAATAGCAATTATCTCATCATGATTAGATGAAGTAGTCACGATTGATTGCCTAGTCGATCTCCAAGATATGACAGTGCTTCCATATGTAAACACATAGCCTGTTTGAGATCGAACCTTTTGTGGGTCATATAAATACCCAGCATCGGCATAACCAACAAGATCGAGACTGCAATCATTTTCATAAAATAATCCCATACCGATAGTCCCTTTTAGATACCACAATATATGTTTGATTCCATTCCAATGTCTCCTTGTAGGAGCAGAGCTATATCTTGTTAAGACATTAACTGAAAAAGTTATGTCAGACCTTGTAATGTTAGAAAAATACGTTAGAACTGCACTAACTGCACTAAGATATAGTACGTCGGGACCAAGAAGCTCTTTATTATTTTTATGAGGTCGGAATGGATGTGCTTTATCCATATAAAATTGCTTTAAAATCATTTTAGTGTATGTTGATTAATGGACAAAAATTCCATATTTCATATACTCAATTTGTAGACCAAGACAAAATTTTATCTTTCCAAGATTTCATTACAAATTCTTTCTTTAGATAGTCTACTACTTTAGGAAGCTCTACTGCTTTAGGAAGCTCCCTAGGAGTTCCAATGATATTTAAATCATCAACATACTCGGTGATTATAACAAATTTAGATCCAGATCTTTTTATAAAGACACAAGGACAAATTGAATCATTCTTGTACCCTTCTTTCAACAGGTACT